TATCAGTTATAAGCACTGTTACTTTAAATCCGGAGGGGAACCCCCTTCTTATATGGATCGAATTTCTATGAATCCTTTCTTAACTGATACACTGCGTATTAATAATTTATCTGCCATATTTCGTTTAATACTTTCTGAGATTAATCAGTAAGCGCACGAGATGGTTTTTCCTTTATTATCTACATAAGTACGGTAATATCAATCGCTAAAATATTTTAAAACTATTATCCATCTATCCAGTTATCTCTTATACATATGTGTACACAATAATATTGCTATTTTTAAATCAATAACTTATACAATAGGAACATACATTATGTCCAAAATAAATATAAATATGTTGGGACATTAACCCACAGCACCATCTAGTTCCATGGTAAGCTACGAGGCTTGTGTTATGGATACCAGATAGTTGACACTATACATACATAACTTTAAATACATACATATTATAAATATACCCATGACTGGAGTACAAACATTCCTGTTCATCACACAAATGAATGCCCCCAGCGGGACTCGAACCCGCGACCGCTGGTACAGCAAGTAGGGTTATTACAAACTGAGCCAAACGTGTCGTCAAAAAAATAAAGTAGTAAGTAATTTTTAGGTTAGTGGCAAGTATTTAAACAAACTTTTCTCTTAGGCAATGAATTGAAAACATTACTATCGCGAATTTCGCAAGTATAAACTTTAGAAGCTAATTAAAATTTTGCGATGGGGGATACGCTCAAGAGCGGTAGCGATTTTGTTAGTTAAGGATACAAATTAATTTTACAAAATATATTAAGATAAAAAATTAGAATCTATTATCTCTGGTATTCCACATAAATCAGTCACGTTACCACAACGCCACATAGTCGTTTCGTTATGGTTGAACCAAAAAAAAATATAAAATTATAATTTTTTTCTTAATATAACTGCAAATTGTAGTAATGCCAAGGTACTTCTTGTGGTTTTATTACAATAAAATAACATTTAGGTACATACTATATATATATATATATATATATATATATATATAGTGAATAAGTACCTGCTATTATATTGATCATAATATATTTATTGGCGATGTAACTACCTAATTAATTTTGTAAAAATAAATTATCGCTTACAAAATAAACACTAAACATATTTTAATATAATTCTTAAGTAATAATTATTTTAATCATTAAAATCTATATAATAATAATAAGCGAGGGTAAATACATATTATCCATATTAATAATGCTATATTTTAAAGCCGGCTAAAATAACGCACTCAATGCCAACAGCAACAGAATACAGTTTTATTAAATACTAGATAGACAAAAATTCTAAAAACTATAGATTCGGCCTTTGTATTGATAATAATGAGTATTTCAAAAATATTTTCTAAAAATATTTCGATATAGGTATATTTCATAAAAGATTCGACTCACAGAAAATCTACTGGAGGGATTTTGATGAAGTTTGGTATGGTGATAGCTGGTTATCCGGGTCATCATATAGGATAATTTTTACCGCGGGAAAATATTTCATTTCTGAGAAAAAATACAAAAACTGCATTGTAAGAGTATACTAATATGTAAAACCTAAGAATTTGCTTTTTCGTCATCTGAACGCGGGCGGAGCCGCGGGCAATGCTATTAGATAATATATATTAAAATTTAAACCAGAATTGACTTTCCTTCCGCTTCAGCACGACACAAGAAATGATTCAAGGATCTCAACTGTGAGACCCGGATAAGTTACTAAGTGAATAACTTTCATAACATTTCTGAAAATCGTGTAAGTACAATGCGGACTTATCTCTAGAAGCAATCTAGATCATTTTAGTTCAATTATTCGTTAATATTGGTAAAAGTATTAAAATTTCCGAAATCTGCATTATACATTTTCTATTTTGTTCGATTTTTTTATAATAAAGTGAAGGAAAGATATTTAAGGTTATCTGGCAGCTTCATGTTTGTTTTATAACGTAGTTTATATGTACATAATCTATACATATAATAAAATTGTAACTAAGCCGAATCTGTACATTAAATATTTTTTGGTAAATCTTATTGAAATAAACATTATTATCAATACAAAGGCCGAATCCATAGTTTTTAGAATTTTTGTCTGTCTGTCTGTTACTGAATCACGGGAAAACCACTGGAGGGATTTTCATGAAATTTAGTATGGTGATAGCTGGTTATCTGGGTCAACATATAGGATATTTTTTACCGCGGAATAATATCTAATTTCTGAGAAAAAAATACAAAAACTTCATTGTAAGAGTATACTAATATGTAAGCCTAAGAATTTGCTTTTCGGTCAACTGAACGCGGGCGGAGCCGCGGGCAGTGCTAGTATTATTATATTGGCAATGAACCTAGCCTTCAACCTACCTGCTCAATTGAGTAAAAATAATTAATTAATTAATTATTGATTACAAAACAAAAACTAAGCCAATAATATATTATTAAGAGTAATGATTATACTAATCATTAAAATTGATTTATAATCATTAACCAGCGTTAAATGTTATTCTGTTTTATAAAGCTATAGGTATATCTTTATAAAGTCGGCTAAAATAATATTTTTTACAATCGTGTAAGTACGAGTACCTACAATGTGACTACTAACTATTCGTTATTATTGGTTATAGTAGTAAAGTTCTTTATGGTTTATGCGTATTATATTTCGCACTTCATAATTTGTTAGATTTTATAATAATGTAAAGGAAACATAACATACGCGTTGATAAACCTTAATTTTACTTACAAAAAGTCTAGAAATGTATAAAGCAAGATATTTTAAAAATAAATATAGGTAATAGATAAAATATATAGGTATAGCAAAACAAATATTTAATTTTATGCTTGCCAACCTTATCGGTTCGATTTCGCTGAAACGTATTAATAAAAAAAAAGGTACCTACCTAGTATTGGATTTCCGATGTAAGCTTCTGTATAATGATAATAATATAAAAAATGTAATTGGTCAATAAAATATGACCAGTAATTTAATATTACATATAATATTGGTGTAATATATTTGTGTTCCGGTTAAGGTGTGTGTATGATGTACATATTATCTATATCTTAATTCTTAAGACTTTGACTGACCTGAGATGAGTCTCACAAAATATGTTATTGCGCTTTGATTAGGTATATGAAACGCGCAGCCAGACAGCAATGCAAAGATGGCGAACAGCACTTGTGGGTCTTTACAACTAACCGATATTATCAATGCCCGAATTCGAATACAATTCAACCCCGATTTCACCATTACACGACTTTAAACTTTAAATACAATTACCCGCACTAACGTCAAAATGATCAAAAAGCAACTTATTAGAAATAATACCTACATTTTGTAATTTTATTAAATATTGAATATAAGTTTAACATCAATTAAATATAAAGTACCTATGTAATTATGCTAATAATTTATAACTGAAATAAATAGTAATTAATTATACAAAATAATAGAACACACGAGTGAATTGGAAAGATAATACAAAAAAAACCCGTTCATGTATATAATCAAAGTTATTGCAACTGGTTTTTAAAATAAATAATAAAAAGTATATCTATACATATTAAGTACATATATAATAATGTCCCCCGCCGCTTCTGTCTGTCTGTCTGTCTGAACGCGATAAACTAAAAACTACCGAACGGATTTTCATACGGTTTTCACCAATAGATGGAGTGATTCATGAGGATGGTTTAGGTGTATAATTCATTACAGTTTCGTGTAAATTGGCTGACATATGGCGATGGTTATTGAAGATGGTGTGGAAAAAAACATGACGACTGGGAGTTTTTTTTAATGGTATTCAGTGACAAACGAGCAGAAAGACCACCTGATGGAAAGCGGTACCTGTCGCCCATAGCACCTACGGTTCATGCAGAACCGCAGGTGCGTTGTCACTGTGAAGACTAAGATGATGTGTCTCTTGCCTGTAATTGCGCTGACTACCTTATCCTTCAAACCGGAACAACAATGCAAACATTGTTGCTTGGCGGGAGAAATAGATAAGGGGGTGGTACCCATCCAGTCTGACTTCTCAGGCTTGACAGAGTCCTACCACCGGTAAAAACCACCGGAGTCGTGCGCCGCGATAGCTAATAAATTTATATGGAAACAATGTATTACAGAATTATTTTTCTTAAAAAGATCTTAATATTAAACTATAGCAACGCGACTAGGTACCTATGTGTACATAGCGATGTACACATACCTCGGGACACACCTCAGCGAAGCGAGGGTAAGTCACATGTAAAAATATAAACTAAGAAAATAAGTGTGGTAACTAGATATCTACTCGTTGTAAGGTTTTTTACTCTGTCTTAAATACTCACTTCCAGAATTGATAAATTTTTGAATATAACTCATAAATAAAAATTATTTATAATAATTTATACGTATTGACAAAATATACCTGCATCATGTAGTGGCGCGATACATTCAGTGCCAAAATTATAGCACATGAATAGCGACTATTTTTTAGATACGTCACGTTCCAAAAAAAACCGTTTTCTTATCCAATTTTCTTTTTATAGAGATAAAAAATAAATATAATAAAATTTTAAATAAAAAATATTTAATTATTTTACATAGAATTTTTATATTTATTTTATATCAATTATAAAAATTAAATAGCACACCCGCATAGACACGGTCATGAACAGTACGTACATAATATTAAAAAAAAATAAAAAATATACGAAATTATTGATATTTAAAAAAATTAATAAATATTAAAATTGCATATCCGCACAGGCACGGTCATGAGCAAAATATACTCAATTAAAAATATAGATACATGAAAGAGCGAGATAACGCTTTATAAACATATTATTCCTTTTCTTTCTAATAAGAACTTCCGCGGTTATCGCTCGACGGTCGCTTATTGCGCAAACTCACTTTCTTCGGTCGCCGACTCGCCAGTACGCATGCGTAAATTGTGTCAGGTGGTGCTTCATTAGGTATCAACATAACCTTACTTTTTCTTTATTACTGAAAAAATGGCTAGTTTTGGAGTTTTAGAAAAAATGGGCTTAGTTTTCCTTATAGGATTGCTATTTTATTTAGTTAAAAGTGTAGTTAATTTGGTGTACACATATATTATTGGACCGGCGGTTAATAAAGTGGATTTTAAATCAAAGGGAAAGTGGGCATGTAAGTACGATTCATATTTATTTTCTTTTCATATAAATCACAAGATATCATGTTATGTTAATCGTGTTTGCTTATGTTTTGTGACTTTTTAGTATTATTTTAATAATTATATATTTTTTATTTCAAATATTAGTTCAATTGTCGTTTTGTGTTATTGACCTTTCACCGCACGACTGTTGATTTTGTTACAATATATTAATTTAATAACGTAATACATTCAAATGTTGTGTACATATAATTGTAGGTATTTAAATAATAAAACAAGAATTTTTATGAAAATGAATCCGAAATATTATGATGTCTTGTTGTTCTATTACTTAATTACTCTTGCACATCACCAGCACTTCAAGATTGATAACAATATTTCTGTAGGATGTAGTCATTATTTTATATATAACTAGTATATATTATTATTATTATTTTATATATAACACATATAATATTAAATCTCATCCGATCATATCATAAAATTAAACTACTATACATTATCAAGGGCATATTTTACTGATAACATGCAGTTATCTATTCAGAATTCTTAGTTAGTTTCGACGGTATTCAATGTTATACAGGTCACTGCATTTGGCGACAGAAAAATATAGATACTTAATAAATACGTATTATGTAAGTAAGTAAAAAATATTTTGTAAATGTAGGTAATTGTTGTGTTAAATATTTTTAATTTTTCCTTTATAGTATTTGCCTTAATTTGTTATTTTAATTTTCTAGTACCTTATCATCGTATGTAGTGGAACTGAATGTTTAGGTGGTTTAAGAAAAAAAATAACTGCTAATTGAACTCGCGCATCGACGGAGTACAAAGGGTCCTATTATACTTTTTAATTAATTAGGTATAATGTCAGTAAACTAATGCGGACTTGTACCTACTCTATTTATTTTACTTAGTAAAAATGCAAAAGATTATGAGTGAGTGCGAGTATGTTTGTCTTTTTCTCACTAAAATTCTTTATTAGATATTAAACTCAAAAAACTATACCTGCAGTTTGGGTAAATACCTCCGAAAGTACCATGAAATCCGAAAGGCAAAAGCTATTATATTAATTATTATGCACACAAACACGTTGCATATATATATATATATATATATATTTATGCAATGTCGCCTGAAGCCTTTTTAACGTCCTACTGCTGGGCATGGGCGGCTGGGCCTCCTTTAATACGAGGGGGATCAGGCCATAGTCCACCACGCTGGCCAAGTGCGGGTTGGCGGACTTTAGTTCGAAAACTTGCTAGGTTTTCTCAGATATGCACCGTTAGCTAAATTATAATTCGCACATGATAATAACAGAGTTGCGAGTCCCGGACTCGAACCCGCTTAATTTTATGTAGGTATAACGTACCTATGGTATTCATAAAAGACTGTGATTATAATATTTTGGTTACTAATAAGCATATGCGTGAAAGTTTCTGACTCGGCACTATCGATGTATGATATGCAACTCGAGAGCCATATCACGTAGTTTGATTGACAGAAGATTTTCTTGGTTTGAACTTTGAATAGGTACAGCAAGTAATTAAATTTATGCATGTATGTATGTCTCTTTACATCTAGGCAAATCAAGATCATGTTGCTTGGATTATACTAATAAAATAGAGATGATATCTATTATTTACTAGCATTGCTCGCGACTCCGCCCGCGTTCAGATGACCAAAAACCAAATTCTTAGTTTTTACATATTAGTATACTCTTACAATGCAGTTTTTGTATTTTTTCTCAAAAATGAGATATTTTCCCGCGGTAAAAAGTATCCTATACATATGTTGACCCGGATAACCAGCTAGGTATCATGATACCAAATTTCATCAAAATCACTCCAGTGGATTTTCTGTGATGCGGTAACAGACAGACAAAAATTCTAAAAACTATAAATTTGGCCTCTGTATCGATAATAATGTCTATTTCAATAAGATTTTCCAAAAAATATCTAATGTACAGAATCGCCTTAGTTTTAATGTAAATTTATTATATGTATAGGTAGATTACTTGAGACATCCTTTAGTTTTGTTAATTTTTGTTTTGTATTAAATGGTATTTTGAACACACATGTGTATTGACCTTTTTATATTTGGACTTTATCCTTTCAATATAAGAAAATGTGTTCATATTAAATAAATTACGACCCATAATATAAATTATGGGTGATTTATCATAAAGTTTTTAATACTCAATTATAAAAGTCATTAAATTCAAATTAAAGTACGTATATATTGTATTATTATTACTTATGTTAATGTACGACGTACGTATGTAGGTAACATTATAGGTATAAATTTTACTAGACTATATTCTATATAAAAACTTTGAAAAAAAAAACAGTATAATGTAAAAAATAACTAAACGCGGGTTTTCATTTAGAATAGATACCTTATGAGATATTTTCGAAGTCGGTTTTTTATAAGTTTTTTTTTCCGCTTTTTGGTGTAGACGTAATAAGCAGGTAATTTGTAAGAAGAAAGTGTTTTAATGACATATGTATTCGATTAAGCAATTTATTTAAAAAAATAATTTATTTACTGTTTTTTTTTTAAAACCGCTCGACTAATTTCGATAAAATTTAAATGAGACTACCGGGGAAGTATACCCTTCGAAACAAAAAAAATCCAAATCGGTTAAGGCGTCTTCGAGTAATCGATGAACAAACATAAAAAAAAAAAACAAAGATTCCTATGAATTGAGAACCTCCTCCTTTTTGGAAGTCAGTTAAAAATAGTTTTGTTTTTAATATACAGACTTAGAAAGTAGTAATATTTGATCTAGATTGAAACGAAACAAGCCAAAGAGCTGATAACAAGTTTTAAAGTTTTTAAGAGAGAGCTCTAAATATCTTCATAACTGGTTCGTAAAGTTCCTTTGTACTTAAAATGAACACCTAAAAAAAGGTCATCTGGCCCTTAAAGTCTTCCTCAAAATAATTGAGGGGTAATGTTTACATAAGCATAGAAGGGGGAAAGTAAGAGCTTTGCTTACTTTTGCTGACAAGGGGGAGGGAGGGGTTAATGATTATCTGAATGGCCCCTTATAAGCAAATTATTGTAAGAAATACTGTTTGTTAAAACAAAACTTCGATACAAAATATATTATAGATATATGTAGTTTCATTAAATAAAGAAACAAAATATTAAAATAATATATTATAGCTAGATGAATATGCTATATGAATATGCCATGTGTCAGGGTTCGAAACGATAATTATTATTGATAATAATTATCTTTGCTCTCCTACTATTGATAGGTATTTGACGGTTAAAAAAATTGAAGAATTCAGAGAGATGTCGTCACCATTTAAAAACATTAATTAATTTCTCTCCTTGATTAACTTTAAAGAGTATTATTTGGGAGGTATCATATTCTAACTGTGGTATCTATTGTATAATACATATAATACAGCAAAGCTTTTCAAAAGCTACTAAACAAAAAAAAACTGTTGAAAACCAGATGAGTCTTTGCTATACTCGTACATATACAGAGTCACAGACTAGCAACTCACCGTCGCGTCGCTTCGCTCGGGTTCGTCCCTAGTTTGCTTCTCAATACAAACTCATCCCTATTTTCATGATTTCCGGGATAAAAAGTATCCTATGTCCTTCCCAGGGTCTCAAACTATCTTCTTATCAAATTTCATCTAAATCGGTTCTGTAGATCCAGATATACCCTCTACAACGTCACAAACTAACAATCTCACAAACTCACAAACTTTACCTCTTATAATATTAATATAGATGAGTTATAATAAGTTCTTTATAATAATTATCACCCGTATCTATCCACTGTTAGGTCTCCTCGAACCACTGTCATCAATTGCCTTCCTACCGCGATAATATCTGACCACCTCGTTGGAGTCTCCCTGTTAATCTTCTAAAATAATTTATTTTAATTATTATGATAAAATATTACATATAGTAATGTGTTTAAAGAATCTAATAAACGAAAAATTCAAACTTATAATGCTATATGAATATGGATCTTATTAAATCTAATAAGTAATCTGAGTAAAGGCCATTGAAACAAAAAATGTGTGGCATTTTAATCTGAGCGTATAAAAACAAAATCTCCGGTTTTAAATATAATTAAATTGTACAGTGCCACGTTTCCTTGTAGAACTTTGATTTTGTGAAGTATTTGCATTAAATCCATTACATATATTTTATTAAGTATTTAATATATAAAAATCTATCATCCGATTGAGATCTTAGTATGGGGAAATGCGGCTGCTATTAATACGATTTTTGTCCTGCAGAAAATATCTATTCGTGGAATTTATAGTTTAGGTCCTAGAGTGTCATTAAGAGATAAGTTTAGAGAAATAAAAATATTGACTGTTGCTTCTCAGTACGTGTACGAAAATGTTACGTATGTCCGTAAAAATATACACGAATTTCCCAAGAAGTGTGACATGCATAACATTAATACTAGGAGCAAACACAAACTTGTAATGCCTCTGACTCGTCTACACAGAGTCAGTAATTCTTTTTATGGACAATGTATACGCTTGTACATGATCCCAGAAAATGTTCAAAAGGCATCTATCGCCAAATTCAAAAAAAATGTTAAAGAACGTTTGTGTGCTAAAGGCTATTATACAATAAATGATTTTATAGAAGATGGCACACCTTGGGAATGAAATGATCGCCTCCAGGCTACTTCAACTTGATAGGAATATTATAAATTATAATTTAACTTTATAAAAAAAAGATAATGAAATAATATTAGTCCCGCTGAGTTTCTTTCCCCAGTTCTTCTCAGGTCTGAGGCTTCTTCTTTCCGAACTGGTAGTAGAATCATGACGTTTAGTAAAAAATTGTAATAATTTAATGCTGAATAAAATATTTTGAATTTTGAGATACTTGTCAACTTATTAGTTGCACTTGTGCGAAGGTTATTATAGACATAGTACAATTAACTTAGTTGGCTCAAGTATCTTACCGGCAAATGCATTTCAAAGAGCATTTTTGTCAAAGATTGTTTTAATATGTTTGCATT